AGTTGGCATTATTTTTTCTTTTAGCACTTTGAATATATCATTCATTCTTTTCTAGCCTGTAAGGTTTCTGCAGAGAAATCTATAGTAATCTATGGGGTTTCCTTTATAGGTGACAAGGCTCTTTTCTCCTGGTGTTTTTAAGATTCTTTCTTTATCTTTGACTTTAGACGGTCTGATCATAATGTGCCGTAGGGATCTTTCCACATTGTTTCTGCCTGAGGATCACAGAGCCTCTAGTGTCTGAATGTCTAAATCTCTTGCTAGACTTGGGAAATTTTTATCTAGTATTTTGCAAAACAGGTTTTCTAATCCTTTCTCTCTTTGCCCTTGGGGATATCAATAATTCATAACTTTTGTCACTTTATGTTGTCCCAAACGTTATGAAGGCTTTGCTTATTCTTTTTTATACTTCTTTTTTTTTTCTGACTGAATTATTTCCAAACACTTATCTTTAAGTTCTGAGATTCTTTTTTCTACCTGATTTAATCAATTGTTGAAGCTTTCAAATGTATTTTGTATTTCCTTCAGTAAATTCTTCAGTTCCAGAATTTTTGTTTCTTTTCAAAAGAATCTTATCTCTTTAGGAAATTTCTCATTCATGCCCTAAATTATTCTTCTGATTTATTTGTATTTTTTTAACAATCCTCTTGTATGTCACTGAGATTCTTTAAAATCAATATTGAGTTCCATGTCTGAGATTTTGACAATTTTTTTATTAAGATCTACTGATGGAGGATTACTGTGTTCCTTCAGAGGTGTCATATGTCCTTGCTTTTGCATGTTTTTTATGTTTTTATGCTAATATCTGTGCATCTGGTATAACAGTCACTTCTTCCTATTTTTGAATTTACTTTCATAGGGAAGGACTTTTTCCTGAAGATGTATCTATGGTACTGGCTGGTACGGTACTTTGGCTTTGAGTCTGCGTGTGGGTATTAGTGTAGTCTCCGCATGATTTCTTTGGCTGTAAACAATGTTAGTGGTATCTGTAATACACAAGAACACAACAACAACAAAAAAGAAAACAAGAGGTCAATATCCCTGATGAACACAGATGCAAAATTCCTCAGCAAAATACTAGGAAACCAAATCCAACAGCACATCAAAAAAAAAAAAATACACCATGATCAAGTGGGATTTATACCAGGAGAGCAAGGATGGTTTAATATATTCAAATCAATAAACATGATATATCACATCAACAGAATGAAGGAAAAAGTCATTTGATAATCTCAATAAATGCAGAACAAGCATTTGACAAAATTCATCGTTTCATGATAAAAACTCTCAACAAACCAGGCATAAAAGGAACATACCTCAAAGTAACAAAGGCCACATAGGATAGACCCACAGCTAACATCATACTGAATGGATTAAAGTTGAAAACCTTTCCTATAACAACTGAAACAAGATAAGGACGTCCCCTTTCACCACTCTCATTCAACCTCATACTGGAAGTCCTAGCTAGAAACATTCAGGCCAGAGCAAGATATAAAAGGCATCCAAATTGGTAAAAAAGAAAATCAAATGGTCCCTCTCTGTTGATCATACGATTTTATATCTAGAAATACCTAAAAACTCCACCAAACAACGCTTAGATTTTATAGATGAATTCAGTAAAGTTGCAGGATACAAAATCAATGTACAAAAATCAGTAGCATTTCTATACACTAATAATGACCTAGCCAAGAAATAAATCAAGACGGCAATCTAATTTTCAATAGCCACAAAAGAAAAATACCTAAAAATAAATTTAACCAAAGAGGTAAAAGATCTCTACATAAAAAACTATAAAACACTAACGAAAGAAATTGAATATGACACAAACTAATGAAAAAGCATCCCATGCTGATGGATAGGAAGAATTAAAATCATTTAAATGACCATATTGTCAAAAGCAATTTACAGATTCAATGCAATTCCCATCAAAATACCAATATCATTCTTAACAGAATTAGAAAAAAAAAATCCCCCAAATTCATATGGAATCAAAAAAGAGCCTGAACAGTCAAAGAAATCCTGAGTAAAAAGAACAAAGCTGGAGGCATCACATTACCTGACTCCAAAATATACCGCAAAGCTATAATAACCCAAACTGTATGGCATTGGTATAAAAAGAGACACACAGACCAATTGTACCAAATAAAGAACCAAGAATTAAAGCCACATATTTATAGCCAACTGACTTGCAACAAAACTGACAAGAACCTACATTGGAAAAAGCATACCCTTTTCAATAAATGATGCCTGGAAAACTGGACAGCCACATGCAGAAGAATGAAAGTGGACCACTATCTCTTATTACATACAAATATCATCTCAAAATGGATTAAGGACTTAAATGTAAGATCCAAAACTAGGGAAAACTCTCCTGGACATTGGCCTAGGCAAATAATTTGTGACTAAGATCTCAAAAGCACAGGCAATAAAAATAAAAATAGATAAATGGGACTTAAACTAGAAAGTTTCTACACAGCAAAACAAATAATCAACAGACTGAAAAAACAGCCTGTTGAATGGGAGAAAAAAATTGCAAACTATTCATTTGACAGGGAACTAAGATCCATAATATACAAGGAACTGAAACAATTCAACAGGAAAAGCACAAACAATCCCATTAAAAAGTATGCAAAGGACATGCATAGACATTTCTCAAAATAAGACATGTAACCAGCCAATAGGTATATAAAAAAATGCTCAACACCACTAATCAGAGAAATGCAAATCAAAAACCAGAATGAGATACCATCCTATCCCAGTCAGAATGGCTATTAATAAAAAGTCAAAGTCAAAAAATAACAGATGTTGGTAAGGATGTGGAGAAAAGGGAACTCTTATACACTGTTACTGGGTATGTAAACTAGTACAGCCACTATGGAAAGCAGTAGGGAGAGTTCTCAAAAAACTAAAAATACAATTACCATTCAATTCAGCAATTCACTACTGAATATCTACCCAAAGTAAAAGAAATTAATATATAAAAGGAATACCTGCATTCACATATTTATTGCAGCAGTATTCACAAAAGCAAAGATACAGAATTAACCTAAGTGTCCATTGATGGATGAATGGATAAAAAATGTGGTACATATATACAAAATGAAATACTATTCAGCCATAAAAAAGAACGAAATCATATCATTTGCAGTAACATAGATGGAACTGGAAGTTATTAAGTGAATTAAGTCAGACACAAAAAGACAAATGCCATGTTCTCATTTATATGTGGGAGCTACAAAATTTGAATAAAATTTAAGTTTAAAATTTGAATAATATATGAAGGTAGAGAGTGGAAAAATAGATAACAGAGACTAAGAAGAGTGAATGGCAAGAAGGGGGAGGATGAACGGAAGTGGGCTTAAGGATACAAAGACTCAGTAAGATATAAGGAATAAATTCAGTGTTTGATAGTGGAGTAAAATGACTATACTTAATACAAATATATTGTACTCAGGTCATGGACAACCTAAGTACGGTAATTCGGTCACTACACATTAGATACATGTACCAAAATTTCTCATGTACCTCATAATTTGGTACAAATAAAAACATTTAAATGCAAAAATATTTTTTAATAATAAATCATAACTTCTTGTAACATTTTTACTTTATAAACTTTCTTACTCTTTTGTAATACTTAGCTTATTGCTAAGTATGATTGTACAGCTGTACAGAAATATTTCTTTTCTTTATATCCTTATTCTACTAGTATAGGCATTGTTCTATTTTAAAATTTTATTTTACTTTTTAAACTTTTTAATTATAAACTAAGATACAAACACACACATTAGCCTAGGCCTAGACAGGATCAGTATCACCAATATCACTGTCTTTCAACTCCGCATCTTGTCCCACTAGGTCTCTGGGGTAATAACACCTGGAACTGTCATCTCCTATGATAACAATGCCTTCTTCTGGAATATGCAATCCAGCACTTTGGGAGGCCAAGGCAGGCAGGTCACGAGGTCAGGAGACCGAGATCATCCCGGCTAACACGGTGAAACCCCGTCTCTACTAAAACTACAAAAAATTAACCGGGCGTCGTGGCGGACGCCTGTAGTCCCAGCCACTCTGGAGGCTGAGGCAGGAGAATGGCGTGAAACCGAGAGGCGGAGCTTGCAGTGAGCCCAGATCCTGCCACACTTCACTCCAGCCTGGGTGACAGAGCGAGACTCCATCTCAAAAAAAAAAAAAAAAAAAAAGTATGGTATAGTAAATGCATAAGCAAGTAACATATTCATCTATTATTATCAAGTACTATATACTGTACGTAATTGTATGTGCTAACTTTTATGACTGGCAGCACAGTTTACAACAGCATCACCACAAACACATAATGCCTTGACTATGACATCACTAGGCAACAGGAATTTTTCAACTCCATTATAATCTTACAGGACTACCGCTGTTATGAGGCACATGACTGTATATGTACACATATTTCCTAGCCTAGTCTATCCCACAAATGCAAGTAAAATATCCATTAGTGTCCTTAATGTAATTCATCAACTTCTTAGAAAAGTTATATCTCTACATAAAAAATCACTTATAATCATCCGTATATATTTGTGTTGAGTGTGTATATATACACATTATACAGTAAGTGATGGCAAGGCTTTTCAACGAGCTCATTATTCGTTTATAAATGGAAAAGAAAAAAAAAAAAACCTCAGAAATACAGGAATAGAAGAGAACGCGGCCCGCCTGAGGGAGAGCAACTAAGGAGACCCTCGCGTTAAGAGCAACTCAGAAGACCCTCGCGTTGAGAGCTCCTGCGGTCGGGACCCCCTGCGTGGCCGGCGCCGGGCGCTGGGTGGATGGGCCAGCATCTGCCTGGTGAGGGTTCCGCGCGGGGACTCGGTGGCGCTCCCACAGCAGTTGGGGAGCGCCCAGGCCCTCCGCGCCCACGCAGCCCTCGCAGTACGACACCGGCGGCCCCACGCGCCGCCCGCCCGCCGAGCCTCCGCCGACCGCCGGCAGGAAGACGCGGACGACCTTACCCGCCTCGCTGGGGTCCCACGGCCCACGGCCCTTCCTGGAAGCGGCGGAGGTCCGGCCCGCCCACGCCGGAGAGCGCCAGGCGAGGGTGAATGGGACTGACCGCGCAGCACAGCCCTACGACGCCAGGTTCCGACGCCTCCTGGTCGTAACCGCCTGACCGAGCGCCCCGCCTGAGCCCCGGCGAAGAGGCCAGAATGGGGGTGGGGTCCCGAACGCGGCGCAATGGATCCTGGGTGCCGGGCAGGTGAGGGGGCGCCCCGGCTCTTGCGAGATTCCACCGCGGTTACGCGGCGGCTCCCGACGTGAAACCGACGGTGCTGGGGGCAAGGGGGTTGTTGAGAGTGCAGAGAGTGGCCCAGAAGTGTGCGCTGAAGGCAGATCAGATATGGTGCCCAAGTTAAAGACTCTAGTCTGACCTGCATACCTACCTGAGTATGGCCTAAAGGCGGGAGAAACGTGTGCCTTTACAGAACAGGTGGCTCTGAGACCTCTGAAAGAGGTGACTCACACTTAAGATTTTTACAACTCGTGGGCGTGAACTTTCATTAAAAAGCCTCACTTACTAGTGAAGGATCGTATATATGCAATAAAACAGGTCTAAGAGGTCTTCTAAGATAAAAATAATTACATATAAAAATACCCCATTTCTTTTTAAACGTCTTATAAAAATTTAATAAGTTAATGTTCTATATTTCACTCACTCAACAGCTACAATATTTATTGAGCGCTTACTATGTGTCAGGCACTGAGCTAGGCACAAAAAACACCTGGGTGACTTCATATTTCTTGGTGGGATCCACAGGAAAAAAAAACAGTGTAGAGATTTGTTGGGGCCTATTATATCTAAGGCTGTGATTAATATTTTAAAAATCAGCTTCCCATTTTTATTATAATATTTAATAAGTTTGAAAGTGTAACCGTTCCGCATATTACAATAAAATCTATGTATGAATTTGAATCTTTGAGAAGGTGTTTGGTAAGAGGGTTTAGGTGTTGGGGTGGGTAAGGAAATATGTCACTTTTAAAAGGAAAATCCTTTTGGAAATAATGTTTTTTATGCCAATGATCATTTGCATTTGAATAAAATTGGCCAAAAAGTTGAGAGTCGTAACTTAATAAAATATCAGTCAATAGACTGTCTAAAACAAAATAAGATCAACAAAAAAGACAGACTATGAAGGGCCGCCGAAGCCACCTTCATATCCAGTGTTCTTCATCTCAGCAAATAGCAGTTCTACTTGCTTAAACCAAAAATCGCTGGCATCATCCTTGACATTTCCCGCTCTCTTACCTACCCCAATTCAATCTGTTGCCAGGTCCTGTGGATTCCATCCACAAACTATATGTTTAGTCTGCCACTTTGTTCCATTTCTACTGTTTCCACTGTAGGCAAAGCAGTGGTCTTCCAACCAGGGTGCAGTACTCAGTACCTCTGGAGAGAGCCCAGACTTTCATGGATTTGAGGGTACTGATGGTTTTAAAGGAATCAGAATCCAATTACAGATCCAGGTCTTCATATATATTCTTTCCTAACATCATGAAGATTTGCCTTTCCTCACCCCCATTTCAAAATCTTCCTTCACTCACTTTACAAGAGAAAGACAAGCTCTCACCCCTCTGGAATCCTACCATTGTGCTTTGCCCGGGTATAAAAACCTGCAAGAATGCCAAAGAGCCAATGCAAAAATAATTATAACCAGGATATAAGGCACCTCTTATAATAATTAATTAAAGCATCTATAGCACATTGTAGGGCTCCGTCTTTGTCTTTATTTCTGTGAAGAGTGAAGAGTGGTGCTAGAAAAAGCAGCTATTGAAATGTCATGGAATCAGATATATTGTACAGTGTGGGCAGTGGAGTTAATGAGGACTTTCTTTTAATGGGCTTGTCTCTTCTGTACCCTGACTAGTGTCAAAAAATTATTTGCTCTTAATGGAGTGTTTAATGAATGCAAAACAGAGAAGATCAGTGAGAAATATTAATCACTAAATAAAGCTTCTTTCATGCCTTAAAATGCAAGCGATGTTTTTCAGCTGTTCATAATACTCATTTCTACCAGATTTCATTAGCTAGAAATCAAAGCACCTTCAAACAGTAGAGCAGTACTGGTTAGTGACACTAAGTATTTTAAATGTAACCAGACCACCAGGTTCTTGAAAACACACTGGATAAGACCTGAAGGACTAAAATGTTATGTGATTTCTTTAAAATTCATGTGTTACATGAATATGAAGTTAGTTAAAATATATTTATCTAATTATATTATCAACTATATATCCCCCTTACATTCAACCTTCATCTTATTTCATTTCATACATTGTGTTATATTTTCCATCTACTGTTAACAAAATTTATTTCCTGTGCTGTATCAAATAGGGGTTTTTTGCCTTCATATACTTTTCTTTTTCAGTAAGTGCATATGCATATTTTCATCATGATGCATATGACATTCATGGAGTGTTTCTGAGGTGGTCACTATGATTCTCACTTTATAACAAGGGCCAATGATCACCTGACACCCATATTTACCAAAGAAATACCATATTTTTAATCACACCCCAGCCTTTATAATTTATATTTTATATTGCATTGCATTATTATAATTTAAGTAATGAGAAATGTTATATAAGCTTATTCTTTTTTTATAACTTACTATAAAAGGGAATAAAGTATATCTATAGTATTTAATCTTAACTTGATTGGTTTTAGTAATCTATTTTTAAATGCATTTATAAGTTCTTTCCCAGTGCTTTCTGTAATCATTTTTGAAATATTTGTTAATGAAATTATTTCAATGGAAAAATGAAGTCAGATTTATTGATAAAAAGCCAGCCTGATTTGGCTAATTGATTTGACAATGCTAATTATACAGCAGACATTTTCCATACATTAAATGAGCTAAATCCACAGATTCACAGTTTTGACAAAAAAAAAAAAAAATGAAAATATTGTCTTTAAAATTGTATTGGCAAAAGTGTACTAAACTGTTTTCTAAAATTTTACTTTAAGTTCTGGGATACAAGTGCAGAACGTGTAGGTTTGTTTCATAGGCATACATGTGCCGTGGTGGTTTGCTGCACCCATCAACCCATCATCTGGGTTTTAAGTCTCACATGCATTAGCTATTTGTCCTAATGTTCTCCCTCTCCTTACTCCCCAATCCTTGACTGGCCCTGGTGTGTGTTGTTCCCATTCCCATGTCCATGTGTTCTCATTGTTCAACTCCCACTTATGAGTGAGAACATAAAATGTTTGGTTTTCTGTTCCTGTGTTAGTTTGCTGATGATGATGTCTTCCAGCTTCATCCATGTCCCTGCAAAGGACATGATCTTGTTCCTTTTTATGGCTGCATAGTATTCCATGGTGTTTACATACTACATTATCTTTATCCAGTCTATCATTGATGGGCATTTGGGTTGGTTCCATGTCTTCGCTATTGTAAATAGTGCTGCAGTAAACATATGTGTGCATGCGTCTTTATAGTAGAATGATTTATATTCCTTTGGGTATATAATTACCCAGTAATGTGATTGCTGGGTCAAATGGTATTTCTGGCTCTAGATCCTTGAGGAATCACCACGCTGTCTTCCACAATGGTTGAACTAATTCACATTCTTACCCATAGTGTTAACGTGTTCCTATTTCTCCACAGCCTCACCAGCATCTGTTGTTTCTTGACTTTTTAATAATCACCATTCTGACTGGCATGAGGTGGTATCTCATTGTGGTTTGGCTGACTGGGGACAGTGTTGCAGCGAAGACTGGAATTGTTGAACCTCTCAAACACTCACCTTCATTATACTAAGGATATTAGCTTATTTTCTACCTAATGCTTCAGGGTTAATGGGGCTTTTTTCTATGAGCCTTGTGTAGCCCTTTTACAGTCATAAATATCACTGAAAAATATTACCCTTTTTTCTACTTCAAGAAAACTAACAGATATTTTAATTCTATAATAAAAAGTGAACTTCTGAGAATTTATTCACTCATTTTCTTTTTCTGACAAGCTCATTAGGCCACTGGATTCCTTGAATAAGTATAAAGGGACTTAAATTTTATAAAACAACTTTATATATGAGCAAATTCAAATAGCACTTTCAAGTATGAACTGCGTAAATGGATAAAGAGTATGACATTGCTATGGTATTATTTGGATTTTTAGCAAGACATTTGGTAAAGATTCTCATGATATCCTTATGGATACAAAAGTGATATTGTGCTTAGGAATTTTGTAATTCATGGGAAAAGGTTTCTAATGCTATATTGCTAGGCTCTCCTTGGCCTAATTCCATTCAAAGTTTTTATTAAAGAGTTTGATATTGACATCATGGCATGCTGGTTTAGGCGCATACATGAAACTAGGATGGGTACATAAATGACTGAGCCAGGATCAAAGAGAATCTTTACAAACTGGAACAATGTACCAAGTCTAACATGGTCTAGTTTCATAGGGGTAGAATATAGTTGGGTCCAAAAAGCTAATTTTGCCAAAACGTATGGGGGTAGATGTGGTTTAACAATAGTAATCATGAACAAAATCTTAACGGTTTTAGTTGATTGTGAATTTCTTGAGTTCACATTATGATTTGGGTGAAGGTAAAGTTCATCAACTATCCTGAGGAAGTGGGAATAGACATATTCTTTGGTGCTCCAGGGTATATAACCAGAGCCCATGCATGAAAACTATAAGAGGGCAGATTGACGTTAAATATCAGGGGAAAAATGTCTGATTAGTCAAGCTCTCTAAGTATAGATCCCACACCTTGAAAAGTAGCGAAATCTCTGCCAGTGGGAGGACTTGTTTGAAGCAGAGTGGGGGGACTTGTCTAAGTTGTTTAAGCAGAGACCTGACAATCATGTGAATATAATGTTGAAGGGGAAGTTGATACATTGGATGAGATACAGTCAATGAGTTATAATATCCCTTCTAACTGACAAGTATTAATGGATGGAATACTGTGGAGCTAATGAACCATGCCCACAGCAGATGCTCCACCACCTCCTCTACCACTGAGCTAGAGTGTATACTGTGGAAATCACCAACAGTTTGGAGTTGACACTCTAGAAACCAGCTAGCATTCTCCGTGGCTGTTGTAATAAATGTGTTCTTTTGTTTTGTTTTGTTTTGTTTTGTTTTGTTTTGTTTTGAGATGGAGTTTCACTCTTCTTGCCTGGAC